AATAGCAAAAAATGGAGGTCTTTAAAGGCACCAAATAAACAGAGAAAATTAAAACCAAAATATTTGTTATAATTAGTTAAAATTGTTTCAGTGGACAATTTGTTTGATGAAGTTATGGCTGGTATGTCTCCTGCTATAGCTTCATAGATCTTCAACTTTGCAGCACTTTTAGCCTTTCCATTGGTGTCTAGTGGAAAATACTCACGGTATCCTTTGTGCTTCACTGGTTTTGTACTGGACTGGTTTATGGGTCTGGTTGCTCTTCCCCCTCCAGGAAAAATATGTTTACTATGTAATCCCTGGCCCAAGCACACCTCTGGGATACACACCCCCCTGATGAAAATTTGTACCAAAGAATTTTAATTTGTCAGAGATTTATACACATAAAATAAGCGTTTTTGACTCTTAGGCCCAAAAAGCTAGGATCCCATCATATCTGATGAGTGTGGAAGACACAAGGGAGGGTCCACTGAGCACTACGTGTTATCATCTTTTGTCTTAAAGGAATGGGATATATATTTTTTGGACTTTCCTTTCTTTTACACGGATTTCTTTATTGGAGCACTTAAGTACGAATTATTTAAGATTGTGGACTTTATTATACCCATATATCTTTTGCGCTGTTATTTATTATTATATGTTATGGTGTTTTTGCACTTTTTGAACAGCAGCATTGTTTAGTGGAATTTGATTTATATATAATTTTTTTTTCAGATATTGTTTTTACACATAGAAGCGTGGGTGATTTGTTGTATTTGAATAATGCTACTACTATATATATTCTAGCTAAAATTTGTGGTTGGTACAGTAGCTTAGTGGTTAGCACTCCTGCCTAGCAGCACTTGGATCGTGGGCTCCAAACCCAGCTATGGCACCTCCCATTAAGATTTTCCATGTTTTCTCTGTGCCTGTGTAGGGTTTCCTCCCACACGCCAAAGACATGTGGTGTATGTAAGTACATGTGGTAATTGGCCCTAATATGTGTATGAATGTCAGTTTGTGGCCTTAGATTGTAAGCTCCTTGAGGTTACAGATTGAGGTGAATGAACAAAATATGTAAGTATATTACCTGTGCTCTATAGGTCCCTGTAATAATTAATAATAAATTAAGAATTTGGCTATTAACACATTACATTCCAAACTGTTGTGGATTTAGAGCTAGAGAATGGAGGAGTAGAATAGCTGACTGGTGTTTGCTTGTGTCTGTGCCACCTGTATAGTTAGGAATAACAATATTCTCTTCTATTGAATAACCAGAACCTCTGCTATGCACCTAAATGTGAATAGTAAATTCACACGTCTTCTACTAATAATACACTAATTATTATGAATGTTTTGCCTGCAGTGTCCATGAAATAACCCATCCTTTCAACACGTGTATTATTAGAAAGCAATAATAATTCTCATTTTATGAATGGACCCAATTATGCAGTATCCAGATCTGGGTGCCCAGATAGGACAATCAGAGTGGCTTGTGTATGGACAAGGTACTATTGTGTTTATGTCTGAGCTAGGTTGAGCTGCATTAGTCAATACGTTACAAAGGACAGAGAAGTATCTTTACACAAACCAAATGACCTCAGGTATCCAAAGGTGAAATTTCCTTCACATCAAGTATAGTTATGTAGTGCAGGGACCTGGCTCATTACATGCCTATTACAGAGTTTTGCTACATGTAAAGGAAATTGTGCAGAGATTGGACAATCATAGTGTATGGCCATCCTTATTCTCGGAAATAAAAAAAAGAGTTGACATGACACTTGTTTTTTTTAATAAAAATGTCTTTATTAGAGAAATACCAGTTGGATTTGAAGTCAAGCTTCTGGTGTTTTGATGGAAGCTGAAAATTCCAAAATATCTTCCCAAACAAAAAAAAAGGTCCCGCTATTCGCTAGCACACAGCTCTACCACATTTCGAAAACATGGGGACTGCACTATCTGTTGCAGGTTCTTTCCAGAATGAGAAGCAATTATGCACCCCCACCAGCAGCATAGAGAAGAGGGATGTCAAGGTTGCTGTGCGACTTCCAAACCATCTTTTCCTGCCCCCCCTTCCCACCCCACACACCCCTCTCAAGACCCTCCACCAGCCCCCTCAACATGCTCCTCCTAAGAAAGCCGGTGCTGCACTCTCCCGGCCCTCCCTTGCCAACCCTCCTCAACACCCTGTCAAGCCCCCTCTACCCGCCCCTCCTTACAAGCCCCTACCCACACTTTCCCGTTAATTTTGTTTTTGTTTTTTGTATTTATGTTCATTTGTATTTTTTTGTAATACATATTGTCTAACTCATTTCTATAAACCTGTGTTTTTTCATTTGCAATAATGCTTTTGAGATAATGTTCATGGCACGGTCATGTAGGGAAGCCAACATATGTGCTTTTCTGAGTGTTGACATTTTTTTTAATAATAACCATCAGCACCTAAGAAAACTAAACTAAATGTAACCCTTCAAATGGCATGACATTCCCAAGGACACATATCTCATATAGCAGGATAATGATTCTTAGTGGTGGTGGCTGGAATCTTTTCTGATTTGTACTTTCTTTGCTGTTTTCTCCTGGTGGTCTGTCCTGCAAATAGCTTGGGAGGAGCCCCATTCTAACACACGCACTAGTACATGTAGCAGGTAGGCATTAGATGCTAATGATTTTGCTGTCAAATGGAGCTAATAATTCAGTTTCTTGGGGGCGAGGCTATTCTAAAAGACATAAAAGGAGAATGCTACTACAGGTTTAGCAGTGTTATTTGGATTTGGCCTCGCCTTTGTCTGTTGGATTTGAAAAGACTAGTGTATCCAACATTCTCCTCCCCTAAAATGACAATGTTGGCCAAATATGCCTCCTGTGCTCCTTCGCAGACACTCTAAAGGAGGTGTATAAATGTCACCTGGTTCTAAAAGTACCAAATTCTAAATGTAGAGCCTGCAAAGAAATGCAGCATATATGTATATATAATGTTTTCCTCAGAAATCTGTTTTTTCCTTTGGGTTTGTATTTTATTCTGCTTTATTAACTTGATAAAGGCTAAGGTCTGATTTGGCACCATGTAACATGTTCCCCCCGAGCCTTTGGTTTTGAGCATATAATAATTTGCTGCATGATCCTGTCTAGGTATGCCCTAGAATTTCCGTCCACAGAGGACACTAGTTAGTCAATGCACTCCATCACATCCTCCCACCCCACCTCCTATGACTATAAGACTAGGTTTACACCTATGCAGTTTGTTTTTGATTTGTTTTTGCGGCGCATTTTGCATTTTTGCACATGTGTTTTTGATGCATTTTGAGGGGTTTTTTATTCAACTTGTTGCTGGGCAGAATAAAACGCAAAATGCATAAAAAAATTCATCAAAAACACACTACATGCTTTTCTGGAGAGTCTCAATTGAAGTCTATAGAACCAAAAAAACTCAATGTTTTGTGTTTAAAAAAAGTCCCTGACCCTTTTCAAAAAACGCATCGGTGAAAACACGGAGATGTGAACCTGTCCCATAGGAAATCATGTTAAATGGACTGCTGTGTGTTTCTACAAAACACAGTGGAAAATGTATAGGTGTGAACCTAGACTAACATTGACATGTGGATGAGCAACAAGTGACATACAAATGGTGTGTTGCGCAGATAGACTAGGTGCTAATTAGGTCTCCTTCTCTTTATTTAGACATTGCACAAAAAATGAGCTCATCCCTAACTGCTAGTCCTTCCAAGAGCAGCTTGCAAATCATGGAACTTCTGTGTTCTGGCAAACCAAAATGATACAACAGGTCACAAAGTACATACAGTTGCTGGTTATCGGCAGCACTTTCCTGACGCTGTCACAGCATGAGGAAAATACTGCTGATAACTGAAAAATGTCACAAAGGACATCCACACTGATAAACAGGGCACTGATGATTAGTGCCCTGACTGATCACCAGTGCCACCCACCAGTGCCCAGCAGTGCCACCCAGCAGTTCTGCCCAGCAGTTGCACCCATCAGTGTCCAGCAGTGCCGCCAGTCAGTGCCCATCAGTGCAGCATCATCAGTGCCACCTCATCGGTGCTACCTCATTAGTGCCCATCAGTGCAGCCTAATCAATGCACATCAGTGAAGGAGAATTTTTTTTTTTTCAAATTTTTTGGTCTTTTTTTGTTTATGGGGCAAAAAATAAAACCCCCCCATGGTGATTAAATACTATTAAAAAAAGCTGTTTGTCTGAAAAAATGATAAAAATGTCATGGGTACAATGACTGTGCAATTGTCATTCAAAGTGCAACAGCACTGAAAGCTGAAAATTGGCCTGGGCACGAAGGGGGTAAAAGTGCCCAGTAGGCAAGTAGTTGCATTTCCTAAGATGAGGCAAACAAGCATTAGGAGTAGTTGCAGATGGTAAGCATACAGCTTCAATCATACTGTATCCAAGCTTAACCACTTGCCTACCGGGCACTTTTACCCCCTTTGTGCCCAGGTCAATGTTAAGCTTTCAGTGCTTTCACACTTTAACCACTTGCCTACTGGGCACTTATACCCCCTTCCTGCCCAGGCCAATTTCCAGCTTTCAGCGCTGTTGCACTTTGAATGACAATTGCGCGGGTCATGCAACACTGTACCTATATGAAATTTTTATCATTTTTTTGTGACAGATAGAGCTTTATTTTGGTGGTATTTAATCACCTCTGGGTTTTTTTATTTTTTCTTAAACAAACCCAAAACCACTGAAAATTTTGAAAAAAAATTTTTTTCCTTAGTTTTTGTTATACAATTTTCTAAATAAGTGATTTTTCTTCTTCACTGATGTGCGCTAATGAGGCTGCAGTGATGGGCACTGATGGACACTGGTAGGTGGCACTGATGGGCACTGATGAGGAGGCACTGGTAGGTGGCACTGATGGGCATTGACAGGAATCACTGATGGGCACTGAAAGGCAGCACTGATACATGGCACTGATAGGCAGCACTGATAGGCGGCACTGACTGAACTGTTAGGTGGGACTGACTGGCACTGTTAGGTGGGACTGACTGCACTGATAGGCGGCACTGATGCACACTGATAGGCAGCACTGACTGGCACTGATAGGCGACACTGACTAGCACTGATAGGTGGCACTGATAGGTGGCACTGACTGGCACTGATGGGTGACACTGAAAGGCAGCTCAGATGGCCACTGATATGTGGCATTGATGTGCACTGGTAGGCACTGATATGTGGCACTGATGGGCACTGGCACGGGGCACTGATGAGCACTGACTGCTAGCACTGATGGACACTGACAGGTGGCACTTCTGGGGCCACACTGATCATCAGTGCCCTGATGATCAGTGTACATGTCCCCTCCGCGGAATGCCGATTACCGGCTCTCCTCTCCTCTCGAACTGTCAGCGATGTGATTGGAATTTTACCTCATTATGTGATCAGCTGTGTCAGTAGGACACAGCGATCGTGGACAGCGCTGGTGCGCACCACTGGGGGTGTGCAGGAGGGCGCGTTCTGGGAGGACATCATATGAATCCCTCCCAGAACTGGACAACCGCGCTGTAGCTGTCTTTCAGCTATAGCACGGTTGTGAAGTGGTTAATATAACAAGCTTAAGACTGAACTCAATTGCTTACTAGGGGCAGCTGCTAAACATTGCTCTCCTGTCTGCTCCAGTTTTCATAAATTCAGTCTGTACTTTCCAGCAAATAGTCTACACTTTTTTGGGTTCCAAAAATGCATTCCAGGTAAGCAAGTTTGGCCACTGCAGCCATAGCCATCAGAGTCCTGCAAATGGTTTCTGGATATGTCGATCTACAACTACAGCGAGAAAGATTGGCTACCTATGAAGCAGGACACACCACAAAGTACTTACGATTTTAAGAAATCTCATTATTCAAGACGACAGATTATTTTGGTCCCGACAGCAGCAACAGTCTTTGAAAAAAGGACACATCTCAATAAACAGGCATGCTCATCAGAGGTAAACAGTGCATGCATCCACAATCAAAGTTCTAGTACAATTGTGAAGCTCTGCATATATATACCACACAAAGATGAAACAATTCCTCCTACATATGTTCAACCTGTTTCTTGGCACACCTCGCTCCCCGACAGAGCTTCAGAACAGACATGTCCAAGGATTCCGATCAATAGCAAGGGATGTGAATCACAGTCCACACATGATACATATCTAGAGAATATAATGGAGTATAATCTGTGAGACAATACAAGGAAAGGTGCACAATTCCCTCCACACAGGGTCAGAGACAGGGGCAGACTGACAACTCATGGGGCCCCCGGGCAATAGGGGATCATGGGACCCCTGTGTCCTTGCCCAAACTCAAAAAAGCCTATGAAAAAGGTACCAGGGGCATCTCATGGGGCCCCCTACTGAGCCCAGGCCCTCAGGCAGTGCCCAAGTTTCCAAATGGTCAGTCCGCCCCTGGTCAGAGATACCTATTGAGTTTATGGTATGATTAATCTGCTGTGTACTGGAAGGGAGGAGGCCATCTCCCAAAAAGCTGAGGCATGGCCTTAGCCCCAGTTCACATATACAGTGGGGCAAAAAAGTATTTAGTCATCCACCAATTGTGCAAGTTCTCCCAGGAATGGGCCAACATACCAGAAACAGTGTGTGCCAACCTTGTGAAGACTTACAGGAAACGTTTGACCTCTGTCATTGCCAACAAAGGATATATAACAAAGTATTGAGATGAACTTTTGATATTGACCAAATACTTATTTTCCACCATAATATGCAAATAAATACTTTCCAAATCAGCCAATGTGATTGTCTGGATTTTTTTTCTCATTTGTCTCTCATAGTTGAGGTCTACCTATGATGCCAATTACAGGCCTCTCTCATCTTTTTAAGTGGGAGAACTTGCACAATTGGTGGCTGACTAAATACTTTTTTGCCCCACTGTACGTGGCTGTGCGAGCCGAGTTTTGCACGGGCACGAGAGCTCATTCATTTGAATGTACTCCTGTGCCCGTGACACGCAGGGAAGAAGTTCCTGAACTTCTCCTGAAAATGCAGCCTGCACGGGAACCTCGGTTCCCAGTACGGTTGCATTTTCCAGTGCGGGCAGCCTGCCATTAGAACTAATGGCACCCACCCACGGGTCCGCATTTCTCTGTGCGGGTGGCGCGTCTGCACGGATTTTCGTGTGGATCCGCAGCGGCACCACCCACACAGATGTGAACCTAGCCTAAATCTATTAACCATTCTCCATCCTGAGAATTTACCCCTCAATGACCAGGCCTCATTTTGCTATTCAGCGCTGCATTATTTCAACTGATAATTGCGCGGTCATGCAATGCTTTACCCAAACAAAATTTACGTCCTTTTTTTCACACAAATAGAGCTTTCTTTCGGTGGTATTTGATCACCTGTGCACTTTTTATTTTTCGTGCTATAAACAAAAAAATACTGAAAATTTTGAAGAAAAACTATATTTTTTTAAACTTTCGGCTATAAAAAAATATATAGTAAACTCAAAGTTAGTCATAAATTTAGGCCAAAATGTATTCTGCTACATGTTTTTGGTAAAAAAAAAATCCCAATAAGTGTATATTGATTGCTTTGTGTGAAAGTTATAGCGTCTACAAACTATGGTATAGATACTGCAATGTACGCCATTTTATTCTGCTATACAGCGCTGAACTAGTTTAATTGACAATTGCACAGTCATGCAATATGGCACATAAATGAAATTTACATCCTTTGTTTCACACAAATAGAGATTTCTTTTGGTGGTATTTGATCATCTGTGCGCTTTTTTATTTTTGATGCTATAAACAAAAAAATTTTTGGAAAGAAAAAAAATTGAAAAAAAAAAAACCAATATTTTCTCATTTCTGTCATAAGAAATATCCAAAAAACTCAAATTTCATCATAAATTTAGGCCAAAGTGTATTCTGCTACATGTTTTTGCTTACAAAATCCCAAGAAGTGTATTTTGAATAATTTGTGTGAAAGTTATAGTGTCTACAATCTATGGTATAGATAATGGAATTTACACAGCTTTTACTTTCTGACTGCTCGTCACATTTCTTGAGGTGCTAAAATATTAAGACAGTATTTTTTTTTTTTTTTTTTTTTTACAAAGTTGTCATTTAAATTATATATTTCTCACACAAACCATGGATTTATGTGGTAGACCTTGGAACTAGGTGAAGTCTGTGGTAATGATGGATTCTTCTACTCAAAAATTACTTTTCGTACACTTTTAAAACACAAATTTGGAATGCTTTTAGCACAATTGTTCATCTTATGAAAGATATTAAGAGATTATAAAGTGCAGGAGATCATATTTAAAAGAATGTTTGTCTGTGCCATTCACATGGTTTTAAAACATGAACATAAATAGGCAGTCACTATTTTTTGTGTTCAATAGTAAATTCACTTTCGCGACTATTTAGTCACACGTGCTATAGTAAATCTTTTCTCCAATTAAATGTAGGCGGTCATTTATAGAAGTGCGCCTATTTGCCAACAATGTGCTTTTTTTTAAATCAACCCCTCTGTGACGAACCTTACTCTCCCTGTTGTATTTTTGCATTACAAAAAATACACTGTAAGATTTTATTGTGTTGCAGAGGCAGCTCCTGAGAGCTATTAGAATGCAGTAGGAAACATACTCCACCAGAAAATATCGGCCTTAGGTGGACTGGCCCTTTAATCCACATAATAAACATAGATGTGCACTGATTCATTTGGTTTGTAATTTCCCACAAACATCTTCATCTCAGCAAATATAAAGCACCATATAACCGCCATGTAAAATGGTATTAACACAACATTTACTGGTGGCAGTCATGCATTTATACTTTAGCTTGCAGATTTATAGCATGTACAGCCAGTCACCTTACCGTCAGCAACTGGCAGAGCATGATGAATGCTTTAGTTTAAAGCAGGCAGAGAGCTGCAGGCTTGTGTCCTCTTCTCAGTAAACCGTGGCTGAGAAATAGAGGCAATCATTCTACACAGCAAATGCGATTCTTTAATTAATGCTGCAGAGCACAATAAAAGACTAGAACGGATATGTTAGGAAAGCAACAAAAATGTGATTTCAACCAGAAGACAAAAAGCTCAGATTTTCGACTGCAATGCCTTTGTATTTCTTTTCTTCACAACTGTGCCTGTTTTAGGTCTGACATATGAATAAGTACATAGAACTATCTGTAATATTACATCTATGAGACAGTTCTTGAAAAGCTTTACCAACGAAACACTGTGGGGGGGGAATTCAATGAAACATTACCAACAATTTTCTGATGGCATGGCCCCTTTTAAAATGCCTTGCGCCAAATTAAAAAAATGCCTGCCTCCAGTTTTGGTAACAACAGTGACACATGCAGCAGATTCAGGTAGTTATTAATAGCGCCACTTGTAAAAAAAAGACACGATAGCTGCACTAAATTTAAAAAATAATTAGCTCCCCAGCGGTAATTAAGAACAACTCTAATTTGGTATACAGAGACAGGCAGAGTGCCTGTCTCTGTATGCTGTGTAGCAGAATGCCTGTCTCTGTATGCTGTGTAGCAGAATGCCTGTCTCTGTATGCTGTGTAGCAGAGTGACATTTTTCCAACATGTACATGAATCTGTTGCCCACACCAACATTTGTCATGCAGACAAGACTGAATTCTAAGCATTGCTGTAGACACTTTATAAGAATTCCACTGTTTAAGGGCTCATGTTTGATGGGCACTGCATTCCTGTGTTTAGAATGATCCTCAAATGCAAGTCAGAAAATTCTTTTCACTTTAATTGAGCAGTACATATGGCCTTTCACTGGATGCAGTTGACCTGCTTTTCATTGTGCTGCATTTCTTTTGACACAACATCTATTATTGTTCATTTGAAGTGCTTCTAAAGGCAAACTTTTTATTTTTAAAAAATAACAAACACGCTATATTCATCTGCTCTATGCATAGAGCAGCCACAATCCTCCTTTTCTGGGGTCCCTTGCCTCCCCCCTGCCAAATGCCTCCATAGGAAACCACTTGCTATGGGGGCAGTTGGATGCGCTTGCTTCCAAGCCAGCTCTGTGTGCCTATAAGACACACAGAGCATGGATCGACCCTGCCACCTGCTCCCTCTTCGCTAGCTTTGATTGACAGCAGCTAGAGCCAATGTCTCTGAGCCAGTGAGGAGAGAGAGAGCTGAGAGAGCTTCTGCTCTCATGCCCAGTGTTAGATCGAGATCAGGCTCAGGTAAGTATTTAGGGGGCTGGAAGGGAATGCATTAAGGTGAAAAAAAAAATTGCCTTTAAAACCACTTTAGGCTGCAGACAAAACAGGTCAAAAACAGCCTTTTCTTGTCAAGCGTTTCGTTCTGCATTTTAATAGAAATCTCTGCATTTGAATTCTACACCTGTTGACATGAACCCTTAGCCATACCCCATTTACAGATAAATCCACAGTGTCCCACAACACAGTCAGGTAGTGCTGTAGATTCTGCGTCAGTGTTTCTCTCCATTGTATGTACTGTCTTATAGGCTAATTATGTAAGATTAGGGCATCACTTACCTTGTGTTGTGGAAGGAAAATACCTGTCTGTATAAAAGTGACTCCTTTGACAATGTTCGTTCCTTGTCATGATAATGCATAGGCTTTAATGTTTTCTAAGTTTGTGATCTGAAAATATACAGTACCTGAAATATAGGGATAAAAAACGGTCTCAAAGTTCAGATATTGCTTCTCAAAACAAGTTTATCAAATATCCCAGTTTCTGGGGACAGTCTCTAATTTGAGGAGGCTGCCCCAAGCTGCAAAGTGTCCCTGGATGTGCCCGAACATTTAAAACTGTAAACATTCTGACATCATTGCCTGGAGAAAAGAGAAGAGGAAGGCGCAAGAACAGAATGCACAATGGAATCAGATGGGGAAGCATATCTCTGCTGTTATGTGAGTGAAATCAGTAACCCTTTCTGTTCCATTGAAACTTAAACCTCTCCTCTGTTTTGGACCCCAATCCTCCCTCCGTCCCTCTCTTGTGATGAATCCACCTAACTCCACATACCTGGCCCACCCACCTACCTCCTTATACCTAACCTGTCCACCTATCTCCTCATACCTGACCTGTTCATCTACCTCCTCAAGCCATACCTGTCCACCTACCTCCTCAAACCAGACCTGTCTACCTATATCCTCATGCCTAGAAAAAAAACATGCACCAATGGAGAGAGTGCCAAATCAAATAATATAAGAGTCCAAATCAATGTATAGGGTTACATTAAAAAACAGCCAATGTGTTTCTGGGAACAGAGAAAACTCCACCTTCATCAGGACTTCAGTTAAAATAAGAAACTGGAATTGACTCAAAATAGAGCTTTCCTGTGTGAATCTATTTAAGGAAGCTAATTGCAGGATTAGGAGATTTACCAGCCAGCATTATTTGCATGCTAATCTGTCTACCCAACTTCTCGTACCTGAA